ACCCATCTCTGAAAACCCACTGGAAGGTCAGCTATGACTTTCTGACTCTATGATACACACCATCACCACCACACTAAGTATGACATCTTTTCTCCAGGGCCTGACCTCTCCTGATGTTTCCAAAGTATGCAAGAAAAAAGACTTACCATCTTTGTTGCTTTTTGTTGTTGTTGTTGTTTTTACGTGTGTGTGTATACCATCAAATTGGATCTGACTGGTACAGGAGGAAATTGCCCCTTCTCCAGCAGAACATCTGGTGGATTCAAACTGTCATCTTTGCTTTTAAGGAGCATTTTGGCTGCAGTTTTCCCAGGCAATAGTAGTTTCTCCCTACCTCCCTGTATGTGTGTATTTCAATATTTTTTCCACAGTATTAATCGTACTGTGTTGATACTGTGCACAGTGGGTACTGAGGTTCCATTTATGATACCTTCTAAAATGCTCTACTGCATGCCCAAACTTTATAACCTTTTTTCAAACGCAACACAAATGAAACACTTTTAAACAAAATCTTTCTCAATGACAAGTATCAAAAAGTTTAATTAAGCAAATTTTTATTTTCATACTGTATAATAAAAGTTTTCCATTACAGGAGGGAATTGATACAAAATCAGCAAAGCTTATACATTAATAGTGAAGTATCCTTCACAGTTTCAATGCTATATGTCTTTTTTGGTGAATTTGATTAAAAAACCAAATTTCATTTTGCATCTAGTTAATTACAGTATAAAGAAGTGTTTCTTATCATCTAAGGATGAAAATTATTACCATCATAGGGAGGCAACAGTCATTAAATAAATTAAAAGCATCTTTAAAGTTTTTCCATATACATATAATATATATATTTTTAATTGCCACTGACTGTACAAGTATTAAATTCCCAACTAAATCATTTACAGGAACTAGTGGAAAGTTGAAGGGAAGGGTGTTTTTTTTATTATTATTATTATTTAATTATCTGTAAGCTACATTAAAGTACAACTCTTAGAGAGAAAATCTATACAGAGAAGTCACACTTATCCAAGATGTTTTATTTAATCTTACAAAGCAGGTGTTCACAGCTATACCACAACCCAAACTTGACTCAATCAGAAGTCAAAGTCAGAATTAGTTACTTGTTAGAACAGAGAGAAGTGAAAGCAGAAAGACAACACTAAATAATGTAATTATATAGAAACATATTTATAAGTCAGGCTGATCAGTGGCATTTACACACATGATAGCCTCTAATGGGTTCTAGTCAGAAATATTAAGATAAATATCTTAATGAATAAATGACTATCAGTTAATATAAAGCTAGATGAATGTAAAATTTCTCTGGTATGTTGTAGTCCTGAGACCTGGGGAATCTAATTTTCCAGTTTCAATTTTATGTCCCCAAATCCTGTAAATTATATATTTACACAGGTTACATCAAAATACTTACAAAACACTGAATTGCCAACATCAGCAGACCCTGAATCAGAATTCAGCTTTGGGGGGGAAAAAGTCTCTTTTAAAAATCACGACTGTGTTTGTATTTGAGTGCGTTGAGGTCCCACATTTGCAGATGGACAATGAGAGAAGATGAAGATGGGAAGGAGAGAACGGGAGAGAAGGAGGGAAAAGGGAAAAGGGTCAGCGGAGCGAGAGCAAGAGATACTGACTCGTGACTTAGGAAATGGAATTTATAATGTGTCTCATTGTCAAGTTAATATCATGAGAAGTCTAGAAATTTATTAAAGAATCACAAAGAAATGAATATCTAAGAAATTATCAAAATAGTTATTTACCAAATTGTCCAACTATTTAAAATAAAATCGCATTAGATTAGAATATTATTCCTTTACATCAAATTCTTTTTATCACTATAGGAATAAATCTTTCCTACTGATGGCCTCCACCAGTCTGGGACTATTTCCGGGCTGGAAGATAAGTGGAATGGCTGGATTCTGCAAAGGTGCATTTTCTGGTTTGGAGTTGAGTCTAGGGTGTGACTGCTGCTTGCAACAGGGTGTGAGCTGCTTGGATTTGGCCTCTTATTGTGGATCTCCCAAATAAAACAGGCTTGGGAGCAGGAGTGACGGTCTCTTTCAAAAAAAAGCCTGCCTCCAGAAACTCTACGGACTTGAAGATGAAAGTTTTGCATTCAAGACTTTTGTTCATAGAGTCGCTACGGGTCATCTAGGACTCTATGGTACTTAACAATAACAACTGGTGGCCTAGTGGTAAGAAGCTGTGCTGCAATTCTAAAAGCAAGCAGTTCACATCCATCACCTGCTCCATACAAGGATGGGCAATCTCCTCCCAAGTGATTGACTGCATCTGAAAAACCCAATGGAGGGTCAGCTATTGGTCAGTTCTGACTCGATGGTACAACAACACTTACACCATAAAATGGTCTCAATGTAGTAAAGAAACGACTATTACAAATTTCCCCGAAGTAACCACTGGCCCAAATAAGTACTAAGAGATTATCTAAGCTTTCTCACAGTGCTATGATTTTGTCCTATCAATTGCTACTTGAAACAACCTTTAATTATAAAGTACTGGAACATTTTAGTAGTAGGAGTAGTAATTTAGTGGAGTTTTGACCTTTTGACCATTGTTGTGTTGGACTATTGCTGCTCATTTAAAGTGAGCATTGATACAAATGAAAAAAGATTACAGACACTTGTCTCTAAAGTGGCTGAGAATCACCAGTGGGTAGTACTATAGGTTATGCATATTTAGAAAAAATTCAGAATTTAATCAAACTTACTAACAAGGAAAAGTTTGCTCTTACTAAGAGACATTAAAAATGGGATATAGTAATCGTGCTTTGACTCACTTTTAGTATGTAATTTTGCTTTAGCATTTGTAATAAGATTAAAGAATTATTTCATCATTCACCCTTTATGCATCTTTAACATTATACTATAAAAAGGGAGAAAGGATAATGTTAATCCATGGAAACTTGGGCATCAGAACATAATTCATTACATCTATTTCATTCTTGGGAGTTACCACTCATCCAAACCAATCTTCACATGCTTTGAGGTATCAAAGGACTGTTTCTTGTGGCTAGTCTTCTTTTGAGGGGTCTTTAGTAACCTACAATACCTTTTAAATTATAGTAATTGTACCAACCACTGAAATGTAGGATGTGTCTACATTTGGTTGATGAACGAAGATACTTGCAGTTTTTAGATCCATCACAACCACCTTTTCGAAGCAGCTATACAACGAAATCCTACTATTACAATCCCAGCCTTCAGTATCCTAAGGAAGCCGACAGGCTCAATATCCCTCAGTTTCACAATGAAGATACTCAGGAAACATGGTGAACACAGTGCCTTTCACAAAACAGATGCTCAATAAATATTTATTAAATGCCTGACCAAGCATAGAGAGCTTACAGGCAAAGAGAGAACAGAATTCAGTGCCTTCCGATACTTCCCAGCCTCTGAAATAGTTCCATTTACCCACTTATTGCCTTGAAGTTGAAATGGCCTCATTACTAACATTCCAGTTGGATTTCCAAGGGTGTAAATCACACAGGAGACTGCTCATCTTTCTCCCATGGAGCTTTATGCTGATTCAAATTGCCAAGGCATCTCAGCCTTTGATTTAAAAGTTGCAACTCTTCATGGACTATGTCACCACAGGTTCCTCTGAAATAATTTACTTGTCTCCAATAATGAAAAATGACTAAATTGAAAATTAGCATTAACCATAAATGGAAGATCACGAACAATCTATGATCAGAAAACATTTCTGCCACAGAACATTTTCAAGGACAAAAACATAATGGGAGTTTTGTACAAACAAAAAAGGAAAACAAAAGTGTGTCTCTATTATCAAGTCCAATTTTTAGTGGATGACTTTTAGTGAGTTTTACTAAAGTCTACATTCTGTGAGTAAACCCAAAGCCCGGATCCACGTGAAAAAAGTACAAGGACCTGGCTGTGGTTAAAGGATATGATTGAGATTAATCACAAAAATATCTAACAACCCTATCATTTTTAAGCCTTGAACAACTATTGAAAACTTTAAAAATGTAATCCTATCAAGAGAATGGAAAATCAATGGACTCAGGAAGAATTTTTTTTTTTCTTTTATCCAAATCATTATAAATGGCTGTACTTGGAGAAAACAGAACCGCAAACAAGATAGAGGAAAAGAATTACACCTGGGCTTTTGAAAACCCGATTGCTGAGTCCTTTCTCTGAAAGGCAAAGGAATGAAAACAACTATTTCTAATTAAAGTGCTGGATCAAGTGAGAACTTTCCGAATGGATTCTTAAATCACTTTTGGTAAAGCTCTTGTAGTCATATTGGGCTTGCCAGTATATGAAACTAAATACAACAGAATCCTGTCCCTAGCTAATAAAAAGAAAAAAAACGACCCCTCTCCGCCAAAACCAACACACCAATCAACATCTCAAACATGTTAAGCAAACCTTCTTACAAAGGACAGGTGAGTTTGCACATACTGACACATATATGTACATATACATAACACACATTTTACTAAAATATCACACACCGATTTATGGAGGAAAAACATGAATAATCAGGACTGGCAAAACTTTTAAAAGAAACAATAAAGTCTACTGAATTAGAGAGCACTTTCTGAGTTGCTCAAGAATCTCAGGCAGTAAGCTTATCGACAAACATAAAATTACTGTCAATTTCCCTTCAGTTGTTGGATAAGTAGAGATAAATGATAAGATATTGCTATTTTCCTCATCTATTTTGAAAGCCCATTATAAAAATAGGTCAGTGTACTCCAGCAGTTCTGAAAACAGTTTGAGTGATAGTCATTTTTGTGTGATTAAAAAAAAATTGAAAACCATATTTAGTAAAATCTTGCATTTAGTTAGATTCAGAGGTTGAGGGGTAAGTAAGTACAGTCCATTTCTCCTTGGTAGAAATCTTCAGTCTATTGCTCATTATCTTTTAACTATATACATTTAAAAAAAAATCTTTTGGAACAAAATACATTGGCAGTGCAAAAAAGAAAGTTCATAAAAATAATGATTGAATTAAGCATTGCAATGAGTTCTGTGCAAGGTTATCTGCAAGCACAAGACTCTACAGTCATGTTAGGGTAAACTTTAAGCACCACATTCTTATTTTCATCAAAGAATAAGATACTGAGTGAGGACATCTTTTCTGGCACGCAGCAAGGCTCAGGAATCCCAGGAACGACTCCCACAGCTCTCACTATGCTCTGGATGGTAGCATGATTGGACGGCTTCAAAGACTAGAAAAAAAGAAATGGAAGAGGGACACATATATTAGATGTAACTGTGTTCAACTCCTCAAACATAAATGCTCATATCATGAAATAATTTAAAATATTTTATCGTTGTTATTACATCTGTTATACATTCAGCTCAATATCCTATTTCACCATCACTGAAATTATTATAATTTATTAAATGTATGCTATTATTCAATACTGTATCTCAAATCCTTGTGGCAAAATTGCCATTTCTTATTTTACAGAGAAGGAAAAAGGCAAAGCCTTATACGACATGTTGATGTCAGGCAGCTGGTAAGTGGTAGAGTAAATTATTTTACTTATTTGGTCTCTAATAATGAATATTTCAACTATAAACAATTCATTATACTCAGAACTAGAGAAAATTAATATACTCTAGGATGTTTTTAAAAAAAGATATTGTTGAAAAACATTCGTTCTTGACCCTGTGATAACCATAATCTCCCTGTTAATGAAGATACTTGAGTTTATTGTTACAGCGATATTTATATTTTGTTAAAAATCAGTGCTGTACATGTGGCACTGATTTGCTTGGTAGCCATCAAGAGATGAATTGGATTCAACTCAGAGGTCCAAACTAGGGCTACAAAGATCACACCATTAACCACTGGAGGTCACTGTTGCTCCTTGGGTTTGACCATAAATTTCAGAGGCTTCAGTATTGTAAAAGTGGGTCAAATCTCCTGGGGAATAGCCTAGGGTGCCCAAGGTTATCAAAAACATGACAGAATTTCTGCAGTAAAATGCTTTTTCAGAGAAAAATGCTAAATGAGACCATTACCCATACAATGGACATGGTTTTATGTAAATAGCACTAAAAAGCTAAGCCATTGTATGTAAAATTATTGTAGCCTAGGATGTTCAAGGTATGAGGAAGTGATAAGAAGAGAGACCATGTTCTGATGGTATAATCTGTAGGGAGTTGTCTTAAAGGTGACTTTCCTGTTGGTTCAAATCCACCAAGGGCTCCTTTGTGAGAAAATGAGGAGTCTCTTCCCATGCAATTAAGAGCCTCTACAAACCAGCTGGAGGATCAGTTATGAGTGGGTTCTGACACAATGGCCGTGAGCTTGAGTTATACAGCAACAGCACGGTACCTAAAATCATTGCGGCCTGGATGTTCAAGAATTATGGACGTGGTAAAATGAGACTGCCACACAGATCAGTATCCATTTTCTTGTCAATACGTCCTTTGGGCAGGTGAAATCAGTTCTGTTTAAAGCACACTGGGAAAGAGCACTTTGGTAGCGTGCCTGCGATCACATGTAACTTAGAAGTGGGATTTACACCAAACGCTGGCTTTTCAAGTTCTGGATTTGGAGCCATGTTTTCATGGTTCAGAGGCACCTCTGCCCCAATAAATTGGTATTTTAATTTTATACTCCTAAAACTCTTAGCATGGGAAACTGGAAAATGTGAAAAGTTTAAGTGCCCATACAAGGCAAGGCAGAAGGAAATGCTAGAAGTTAGTTAATTATAAAAATGGGGCACTCTTGGCAAAACAGGAGTTAGGTTCCAATATGATTTACTTCATCATATCCTTGAATTCCGATGAAAAAAAATATTTGTAACTTCTCAAGCATATTCTTACTAGGGAAAAGTAATTAAAAAGTATATCTTAATGATTGAGAGCGGTTTTTTACTTTTTTTTTCTTTCTGGAAGGTTATAGGCCGAAAAGAGGCTAACTTCCAATTAATTAATATTGTAAAGCAGGGCTTTTTACCCTTGCAGAAAGGAAATCTGTGATCTTTTATATAGCATGTATGGTAGCCTAGTGTTAAACAGTCACACAGTCAACCAAAGGCAGGTGGTTCCAATCTACCAGCTGCTCTTTGTAAGGAAGGTGAACAACTTCCTCTTATTAGATTGACAGCTTCTTAAAATCCACTGGACTGTTCTGTCTGGACACACAAAACAATACCATATAATTAATAAAATTTGTGTAACTGAGATAAACAGCAACTCATATTATGATAAAGCCAAATAGTTCCTGTTTGCTATTTTACCTGCTGTGATTGCTGTTTGCCAGTGAGGTGGAACTAACCCATAATTGACCCTCCAGTGCATTTTCAGAGGCAGTTAATTGCTTGGGAGGAGACTGCCTATCTTTCTTCTGCAGAGCAGTTGGATTCAAACCACGTGCCTTGAGGATTGCTGCACAGCTTGTTACCATTAGGACACCAGAGTCCCTGGCAATTGGCTTGCTACTTTACCTGAGTCCCTGGTAAATGATGGCACAAATGGTTATGTGCTAGGCTACTAATTATAAACTTTGGAAGTTCAAACCCAGAAAAAAATCTTGGAAGAAAAAGTCTAGAAATCTACTTCAATAGGTCATTTATAAAAGTCTTACAGAGTGAAATTCTTCTCTGAAGCCATTAATCATAACTGATTCAATGGTAATTCTTGTTGTCCCTTTTTGTTTTGGATATATTATCAACATAGTTGATCCTTGACCCCTTTGAGGATAGAGGTGCTGATCTCTGTTGTATTGAAAAAATGGTTTACAGTAGACCCTTGAACAATAGGGATTTGAAATGCAGAGGCCCATTTATATGCAGATTTTTCTCCTTCCCATTTGCCATGAGCTCAAATGTAGTGAGTATTTGCTTAAAATGCGATGTGGCACTAATCACATCTGCGTGAGCAGTTCATCTGTCCAGTACATTGTACGCTAGAGATGAACCGTTCATTTGGAGATGATTAGTGTCACATGATTCTAGAGCACACTGCAATAGCAACAGGCAGGGTCGGGGGGTTGGGGGCAGCACAGGGATCCATATATAAGTGGGGTTGAGTAATTCAAACCACTGTTGTTTGAGTCAACTGTATGGTTAATTGCTAAAGAAAATTTTGGTGGCCATCTACTTTTCTCTAGTGATTGGAAGTTATTCTAAAAACCACTAATCCAAACAGCTTTGTGTAGAACTCAAAAGGTGTTTCTTTTCTTTTTTTTTTAACCCTTGGCTTCCATCATACTATTATGTTAGTGTTAACATTTCAATAACTCGTATAACATTAAATTTCATACAAAGTATGTCTATTTAACTAGAGGCCAGGAGTGAAAACTACTGCTTTGCATCAAAGTTTACCAGTGCCTAGGGCAGTGCACACACCAGGCACTGAATAAACGGAATTGCAGAATCGTGAAATACTTACAAGAAATCACATACCCTCCATTTTACTACTTCTGTGGAAATAATTCTCCATCAACAAAAATAAAAAGATTCTGTTCAAATGACCCAGCATAGATATGGAAAATATTCATGGTGTTTCCTAGGAAAATTCCTGTCTTTTCTATTTTATTTTTTTTAAAACTCCAACTCACAAATGATAGATTCAGAAACTATGACTAGTCTCTGGAGGGCTCAATGGAATTCAGGCACAAGCCCCAATTCTGGGGTGGTATGTCTTATCAGAGGCTTTTCCACTCTTCTGGGAGTTTCGACTCTGTTTTCTCACTGTGAATCTTCTGATCAAGCTGACATTATCAGAACTTAAGTCATGCACAAAAGCTCCAGGCAGTAATTTGATGGTTTGAAGTATACTGTTAGTCCATAATTGATTTTTTTTTGTTCAAATCTTATTCTATGACTTTTAAAATTATTAAACAAATACATCAATCACTTATATAATCCTGTGCTAACTTCCTGAAGAATCTCTCTTTTCAAAGTTAAAACATGACTTCAGTACAGTTAGGTAATTCAGTATATTAAGGCCCCAGGTGTGGGCCTGTCTTCTAGTTTAGACATTGGTTTTTAAACACACTCAATAGTGCCATACAAGGAAGGTCAAACAATCAGCTACCATATTGGATTGCTGCTGCTGTTGTACAGTGTCGCACTGGAACTGACCCATAGCTGACCCTCCAGCAGGTTTTCAGAGGCAGTTAATCACACAGGAGGAGACTGCCCATCCTTCTCCCTTGGAGCAGCCGGTGACCTGGAATCGTGTGCCTTCAGGATTGCAGCACAGCTTCTAGCCACTATGCCATGAGACTCATTCCCTACTGGGTACAGACAGAAAAACCCCTATGTAGCAGTTTTACTCTGCAATAAATAGGGTTGTCAAGAACAAGAATCAATCCCTACCAAAGGGCTTTTTGATCGGTATTCAGTATATCAAAATATAATTTGTTAGTTTCTTATTTAGACTGTATCTTCAGACCAAAAGTTGCAACTAGATATTAGGGAAATAATTTGAAGTATATATCACATATCATGTAGCATTTATAAAGATAAATTTCTGCTTACAAGACAATACCTGGTTTAAAGTATTTAGATCCTTTTCTGCATATTTCTGTCTTTGCTATTCCTAGCTTTTCCATCATTCCTTGCAAAAGAGAATTTCATTCCTTTAATCCTCATTGGTTGTCTTGGATCGCTGTCAGCTACAATAGCTGCATCATTTTCATCTGCAATCTCTGTTTTCCATCTCCTCCAAGGTGGTGAGGGGAGGCAAAGGCTTAGAATTTGGCTTTGGTTTTAGGGATATTTTTCATCTCATGGCAGAGTTCCAGGACTCTTACCCTGGGAGAACAGACTGGCCATAAGTGCTAGAAATCAGAAAAACCCAAACTGCTAGGTCTGTGAATGAAATCTACAGTGGTTAGGCCCATACCTGCCAAGCTGCTGCATATGATGTCCTCAAGTTGCATTTGATTACAAATGCATTAGCAGGGGAGAGAGTATGTCATCAGTTAAGAACTTTCATTCCTGACCTGGGCCATGGGGTTTTGCTCCACACTATTCCAGTTCAGCCCACATGGGTGTGATAGCCCAGAAACTATCTAATTGAAATCAGTGAAAGGGCAAAGCCTGGAATTTGGGAAAGGCAGAGCGCAGCTGTTCTGAATTACAGAACAGGTTGTTGGCTTTTGCAGACGAAGAGCCTGACCATATAGAGCAGGCTTCACTTAGGAGGCCAATGAGAAGCAGGGCCAACAGAGAAGTCTAGCCCGAGAGAGCTTTTGCTCTAG